CCCGCCCCGCCGCAGACTCTGCGCCCCGTCCGAGGATGCTGCGCAATCCGCCGCCAGATCCCGCCGCCGCCCCGCCGCTCGCGCTGCCCCGCCGGCCCCAGCAGCCGCAGCCCTCCAAGGCCAGGAACCGCTTCGACATCGAGTCGCTGCTAGCCAAGTCGGAGCCGCCCCGTCGGGAGTCGCCGGTTCCCGGTACCTGGGCAGCCGCCGCCGCCGCCGCCACCTCTGCCTCGCCTGCGCTGCACTTCGGCTGCCTGGCGGCGACGCTGCGTTTCCCGGCCCTGTACTTGGCCGCGCAGCAGCCCTTCCTCTCCGCCCCGACCTGCCGTTGCGCCGCCCCCGCCTGCAAGAGGCCAGGTGAGGAAGCCGCCCGCCCGGTCTGCGCGCGCGGGGAGCCCGGGGCCCGTCCGTCGAGGTCGTTCCTAAGCCCGCGAGGTAGACTGCGGGTGAATTTGGAGGCTCCACGGCCTTCTAGAGCCCGCTCCACCTGCCCCTTCGAAGCACAGGAGTCTCCTCAGGGAGCGTCCAGGCAGAGGCGTCTGGATCGGGCTCAGCCGCGCATCTCCTGCCGCCAGATGGCAGGTTTTGCCACTGACGGACGCTGAGAAGGGAGGCTGGGAAGGAGGGCGCGCGGGGTGGTTCCGATCCAGCGTCCAGCAGGAAAGGAGACCGAACTAAGTCCGGGCTTTGTGGCCAGGAGGAGCCGCAGGAAAGGCCGCCTTTCCCGGAAGGGCCGCGCGAGCCGCTCTCCGAGGCTCTGGCAAGGAGAAGCCCCTGCGGGGCAGGGGGCGCTGTCCGCTCTCCCTCCTGGCCCCGGGTCACCCTCCGCTCCTCTCGCGATGGCAGGCCTGGAATTCTTGCGCTGCCCGGGCTCCCTGGGGCCGGCCCTTCCCTGGAGACCCGGAGGCCCCTGCAAGCTGAAGCGAGTCCGCACCGTCTTCACCCCGGAGCAGCTGGAGCGCCTGGAGGAAGAGTTCCTGAAGCAGCAGTACCTGGTTGGCTCCGAGCGGCTGGACCTGGCAGCCGCCCTGCAGCTCACGGAGACCCAGGTAGGGAGCCCCCCCTCCCCTCAGAACACCCAGGGAAGGAGCAGAATAAGGGCTCTTGGACGGGGGCTCAAAGTCCTCTGGATATTCGGGAGGCTCCCTCTGTCCCCAGAGCTGCGTCTGGACCTGGGTAGGAATGTCCTGTTCCCACCTTTTGCTTCCTTTCCTCAGTGAGGTCTAGAAGCACACTTTGCTGCTCCTTTCTAGTCAGTGGGGTATTATCTGTGGGCCTCCGGGTGTTGCTGAGCCCCCCTTCCAGCAGCCCAGCCAGGCAGGGGGCTGCTTGGGCTTCAGGACTCCCTCTTGCTCTCGTTTCAGGTCAAGGTCTGGTTCCAGAACCGCAGAATCAAATGGCGCAAGCAGAGCCTGGAGCAGAAGGCGGCCAAGCTCTCCTCGCAGTTCGGGGTGGCACGGATGGCCCCCTCCGGCCCACTGGACGGGCAGGAGAGTGACAGGGAGGAGGAGCTCAACGTGGACCTTTAGCCTCACCTCCCGCCCAGAGGATCTTTGCAAGCCAGGCCGCCCCTCGGGTGGGTGGGGGTGGCGGCCCCTCCTGCCCCCTGGAAGGAACCAGACGGTCAGGGCAGGTGGAGACCCGGATCAGAAGGCCCCGCCTGGCTCTGTTGAGTG